GTGGACATTATCTGTCCATATCACTCGCAATATAAGTCGTGAAGATACATGTAACATATAAATATCTCGACTCACAGCGTTTCTTATCAAATTCCTCCGAAACCGGAAGAATCTCATGTAATTTTTGTTTATATTTGATAGCATTTGACAATAGATCCTTTTTTTAAATGGCTGCTAATGGAATGGTGCCTCCGAGTACGCACGCGTACGTAACGGTATGCGCTGTTGGGGCACCAGTGGAGGATAACTTTAGCATGATGGTCAATGGTCAGATCAGTTAGCCAATTGTTATGAATTCACTTGGAATTGACCACAATGATTTCCAGGGTGAACCGCGTGGTACATTGTTACCAATGGGTTCCATTCCCTGTTACTAAGAATCCCCTTCCCTCTCTCTGATAATAGGCTATTTGTAGCCCTACATGATAAGGCCGGCCGTATCCCAAAATTATTTACATGGCAAAAGTTTTCCGGATTATCTAGTTATTGTTATTAGTGATCGACAATGGACTAAATTAGACCATAATTAATTTAAATTGTAAGTTTATGGTAGTGTGTGTAATATTTTTTTATTGATTTAATTAATTTAATAAAATAAATTATTTTATTTAATTTAATATATCAATTTAATTGTATGTAATCAAATATAAATTTTATAAATATCATTATTGTATATTATGACTTGCTATATATGTAAAGATGTTTTATACATTAGTCAATAAATGAAACTAAACTAAACTAATATTATTTATATTTTTATTTTTATATTAGTATTTTTTTATGCATAATTTAATAAAATATTAGCATTGTACGCCATTTCTATATAAACTATAAGTGTGCGAAATTAATTACTACCGTCCGCTCAATTTTCTTAAAAAGAGGTACAACGTTTTTGGTTCTGTATTAATATATAGATTTTATTTAATTTTATTTGTAATGGTAACCCTAAGTATTTACGTATGTTTACTACACGATTACATAATACATCGCTGAAGGGGACTTATCAGTGACCTTGTAACCATTTGGAATTCTACCGGGTCACACTTATCTGAGTTATTTTTTTTATTCAAATGCAAAAACTACAACTGTAGGTATATAAAAATGTTGTTATATATGTAGTAATTATACGGTATGCATTTATATATATACATATACGTTTATTGTTAAATTAACCGCTTATATTTCTTTTTTGAGAACGTCATAGCCCAGTGGATAACACCCTGCCTTAGAACATTAGGGCATAGGTTTGGATCTGGTCGACTTTTTTATGATTCTAAAAGAGATTGCATGGATTCGCAAAAAAAAATCTTTTTTCGGACGTAATTTTTTTATAACGGCTATCATAATTTTGTACTTACCATCTGGTGGACTGTCAGCTTGTTTGACATTGAACTTATGAATAATATACTAATAATATTAATTCGATAGTGTGACTATTTGTTTGTTATCTTTTTACCATTAAACCTCCTAATGGATCTCATTTACATTGACATGAAAACAGCTTCTTCCAGGAAGATGGACATAGGCTATTTTCTTATCTAAAAAGGAGAGATAACGACTACATTGTAGGAATCATCTTCCAGGAATAGTATTTCAGAACCGATACGGTATTGTACCTACAAGAAAAGAGCTTATTCCTTCTGAAAAGGACTACGACGCACTTGCAATTCTCCTGATGTTGTGTGCACATAAGCGGCGGTAATCACTTACCATCAAGTGATCTGCAAGTTCGCTTGTAAAATATATATCCTATACTATAAAGAAAGACATCACAGGCAACAGCTAGTATGTCATAAATTGAAATACACAACATTGTTCAATAAAACAAAAGTGCAATCATAAAACTTAACACATTAACAAAACAAATTAAATCAATGATAACATCGCACAGGAAAACATCAAAACGCCGAATTCTATTAACTGTGTATAACGCTCTTTATCTATGTAATTGCATTAAAAAAAACCAACGAACAGACAATAGGCTTCGTCCTATACAACCTCTGAGCGACCCGGCTTTGTGTGACCTCCGTTGCGTTCAAGGTACATCCGTACTCATCAAGCTAACAACCAACACTTAAGGCTTTCGACCAATTGACGAAATAACTATTAGAGTAATTCCGCCAATGGCGCTGGATTCGTTTTAGATGGTAATATCAAAACGCATTATGTGATTTTAAAAAATACTCATACACGAGTTCAGGTATCATGCCTGCTTCGCGAAGGTTTTCCAACAGGACAACAATATGTGGACTCCTCTAAAGGTATAAAAGATTTGTAACAAGCTAATGAATAATAAGAATAAATTTACAATCGTAAATAAGAATAATAATAATAATAATAATGTTAATATATTTTTTGTTGTTTATATATAAATATATATATAAGAAAATATTTTATATCATAATTAAATTTTAGTGAGGTGACGCAATACATAATTTACTTTGGGAATAATAATAAACGATCAGAGTTTTGCTCTCTAGACAAATAAAAATATTTTGTCTAGAGAGCATAAGTCTGATCCTAGAGAGCAAAACTAGATCTAAAAGCAGAATTCTTTATTCAGTTCCAACAAGAATTAAGATTTTGAATCTGTTACATTCTAATTGAGATAAAAATACTCTTTAGAAAAACGTACAAGAAACAAGCAAGTTTCAATTAAAATAAGTATTGATCTAATTATATTTAGATTAAAAAATAATGTGTAGACTTGAGATACTTCAGATAAGTGAAATCCACCGTCAGTTCGAAACATAGTTTGAGCTGAAACTTAAAAAGAATCTCTGCTCTAACTAGTTCAAAGGGGATTATATACAAATTACGTATATTGTCTGTATATGTATTGTTTAAATAATACTGATTAATATTTACATAGATCTTATTTTAGCTCAAAAAGGAACTGTGTGAGATAGAATTATTGTTTCTTATATTCAAGATATAAACAGCATTATATTCAGGGCTGTCAACCACAGAACGTATTACTTTGTATTGTAAAGTCTAAAATCTCGTATGATTAATAATAAAATTGAGCGACAATTTGGCAATCTAAGCTCGAACATCATAATTTGACTGATTTTCGTAGATCAAAAACTTGTAGAAATTTGTACGAGTCTAAAAATTCGTAGCAGTTCGAGAATCCTGGTACGGTTTGTACGGTAAAGCCAAAAATTTTGTATGGTCGCTCATTTTGGCTATCTAACCTCGTACATCGTCACATTTTGACCAATTTTCGTAGATTAAAATCTTGTACAAACTTGTACGAATACTAAAACTTAAAGAGGGTTCTCATACAATTGGCATCCCTGGTAAGGTTAGTACTTGCATTATGTGTAAATTAGTATAATTGTAAATAATTCATGAGTTGTCTAAATTGTGTAGTTTTAAGTGTTGTTACAAGTTTTGGAAAATTTTTAGTGCTTCCACGTTCTCCACACTGCCTTACTTGCGATGGTCGCGTGTTCAATCCCCGTCCAATACTAATATTGAATATATCTGTTTGTATTAGTACAATTGTTTTGTTGAAGGAACTATCATAGTTATAGATGAATTGTATAACGAAGATTAATTTCTTATAACTATTTTTCAATAATATATATTGAAAATGTAAAAACAATGTAATTAGATCCACACATATTTATACGCGTAATTGCAGAATATAGTGCAACATATTATTTATACAAGTCCCTTGTTACCTGTACTATACAAGTAAAGAATTTGAATTTATGTACTGAAAAGTTATATTTTAATATATATCTAATCATATGTAGTACCTATATTATATAGACATGTTATTTATTCTAATACATGTACTTTAGTAATAGAGAAATTTAATATATTTACTAAAGAAATATGTTTTAATGTCATCATATTGTCGTGTAGTACCTTTAATAGACCCGCTTGGTTTGATGCTAAATAATCCTTGTCCGGAATAATTCAGCAATTCATAATTTAATTTACTCTATCGTTTGATGAGAAATTATGAGAAAATCGTCTTATAAGTTGTGCCCGACATCTTCATAGGTTAAGCTCATAAAGGGTCCATAATACAACACAGAAATGAAATGTGTGTTTGTTCATAACATAAATGAGACCTTGCGGTGTGTCTTAACGACTTAAGAATTCGTTTCGAATTCAAGAAATTATTTAACATTCGGATGATAATAATGTAAATTATTTGTTTTACTTAAAATTTTATATGTTCATGTTTTCAATGAGACTTCTATAAGAATATTGAAGCTAGCTTAATATTACATATGCATTAAATTGATTAGAATGTTTTAATAATAGATTCTAAAAAAGATATGTAAATTTAAAGTCATCTTAAAACATCGAAGGTCAATTGATGGGAATTAAAAAATTACATTTCAATATAGTACAACTCGTAGCCAATGTTATATAGCAGGAAATCTTAAAATATTACAAGAAGTTGTTAAAATAATAAGGAAGCCTTATATTTATTACACAAACAGTATTCAAATAGACAAGTACTCAAAAACCAATGACTGAATATTTGGCAGTACTCAAGATCTTGAGTGCGGAATATTTAAATTCACTCGAGTATACTCAAACAAGTAGTTCTAAGAAAATACAGAGAAGAATCCTAAAAAGGATCTACTGAGGCACAAGATACGATTACAAATCAAACATTTGACAAAATCCTGAAGGTTACTATTTTGATATTAAAAAAACATTTCATCTCATAGGTTCGTATAAGACTTAAGGCAATATTTCCAACATTTATTATACAAACGCAGTATAATTACGTTAGAACACGAAGCTCGACATATAATATTAGAATCATCGCAAGATTAATAGGCCCGCACGCGGAACAAACGTTTGCATCGTGATTTCATATAATGATCACTCAGGTAACAATGTACTAAAATCGCCGAATATTACCAGCGTAATGACGTCAAGAGAAGACTTAAAGACTTCCGAAGTATTCAAGGATTAAGCATGATGTATTTAGTTTATTACATTATAAAAACATAAAAGATTCTAACCTTCTCTTCCTGGATGCTTTGGCCACCGTTCTCGGATAGTGGAGTTGATGGTGCGCTGTACCCTTTAGGTCCGTCGTCGTGAGGCGTCATTTGTCTAACATCATTCTCTTGATCGTTACTTGCTCTAATCATATCTTGCAGTCCACTCTTAAATTCGGATAATCTTAATACGGACGGTTTGATTTCGGGAATTTCATCTGGATGCTCGTACCTTCTTAAATCTGTTAAGTTTGTAGCTAAATGTCTGTGATGGTCTATAGGAGGAGGCACTCCTATAGATCTGAGGTGTTCTATACTTCTATGTATATGGGAGTAATTGTCTATTGGTATTTCTGCCATTAGTGGCGAATTGTGGTAATCCAGACCGCCGCCGTCCGGTCTGTAGTCTATAGTCCTTCCTTCCATCATCTTGACTGTTTTAAAATTTCTATCTAAATATATAAATTCTTATCTACAGTTATTTGGCACTATCTTATAAAAATATAGGGTTTGTATCTTAATATCCACTTGTTGTCCTTTGTTTTGTATGTCATGGAATTTATCGAGATCCACCGTTTTTGATTGGCTGGAAAGATAATAAACGTTGCATGAAGTTCTATCAATCTCGTTGTCGAATTCCAAAATGTTGTCTGATTCCAATAAGTAATTAATTCTTGTTAAGTAACACGATTCAATCATTTGGAAGTGAGGAGCAATGTAAGTTGTTTGTCTATTTAAAACTAGATTTGAAGAGTAAAAAGTTTGCGGTTTTTTTTCGCGCGCAAGCAGGTGACGAGTCGTGTAGGTTGTGTCAATGATCTATCCCCTAGCCCACATGCCACATCAAATAAGGCTTCGATAATACTGCCTGTACAGGCGTGCGTACAACGTGCGTCGACTTTAATACAAGATTACATTTTGAACCCCCTACATTAAATGAGGGGTGGAAGTTTGTAAGTTGTATGTTTGAGGGTTTTTCTGTGACATCGTAGTTTCTAAACGAATGGACCGATTATGATGGGGGTTTTATTGTTTGAAAGAAATTGTTCCTAACTACAATTAATTAGTTGTTTTATTCCTTTACAATGTTAAAATTTTGACTGTACAATACATTTGAGAAATTTTTATATGATACCTAAATTTCAATTATAATAAATTCTGTTACGTTAAATGATATTAAAAGTGACTAATAAGACTATTTTTTTTATTCTTACTTTTGCTATTGGCTGTACTTACTCAGTAATACTCTGCTGTCAAAGATATAATTGCGCGTATAGAATAGATTACCACATCCATTTTCGTCTGATCTCGAGAGGCCTCGTTGGATTTTCGACTTTATGGCATTGCAATAGTGGTTTTAGAGGATGGAATTTAGGATTTCGGTCGCTGCAAATGGTGTAGATAATTTGGTGATGTATACAGGGCCTCACGCTTGATCGACTTCAAGATTTGTAATCATACTAGTTTGGTAGGGAAGTGGCTTTGGGCAAGTAATTAGCTTTTTGTTAACGATTCATTTATGTTATGTTCGCTACTATATTTTATTCACACATATATATAATTCCGGAGTCGTTTTGTGTATCGACTTATGGATAACGAAAACAAATAGTGTTGCACTTATAGAACTTAATTAGAAGTAGCATCTTATTTTTAATTAGTTTTATTTATTAGTAACACATATTCAAACGTAAATAAATAATTATAATAGAAGTGTATATTTTTTGAGTAATTAATTAACAACAAATATTTTTTAAGTTTTTACAACAAATCATTTCATCATAGATTGGTTTAGTTTAATCACATAGTGATGTATTTATGGAATGTAAATTAATTAGAATTAATAGAGATGTAACTTATAAATGAATCTAAATCAGTTTTATTGTTATGTAATACAAATAATAAATATTTATTTTAACAAAAATAATAATATTATTTAGATTAATTAATTAACAACATTAATAAACATTATTTTCGGCAAATTGTTTCACGGATTGTTGATCAATTTGTCGTGGACACATTGACACTTGTTTTTTTTACTGTTGTCAAGTATACTCGGGTTTTTGCCGGCAAAAAACGAAGTCTGTCAACTAATTTTTTATTCAGATAAGTTAAAATATGCGTTTACTGGGTAGTTATTGGAGATTTCGTAGTTACTGAAGCGTGCAATACAAGGCTGTTGGACGAGAAGTTTCTGATATTGGATGAAGTAAGGTTGCTACATTTTTATTGTGTAAAATAGGTACTTATAGGTGCATTGAGGGTAAGGCATCAGTTAAACGCCGATTAGGTGTTTTACTGTCATTTGTGAAGAATAATAAAAAAATGTTGACAGTTATGGAATTATTTATGGGTAATTACCCATTTTGTCGTTTAGTCATATATTTTATTATAGTCATATTTAGTCATTACTACATGACTAAAAAGTCTGACTTATGTCTAAGATAGAATCCTTTGCATTTAAAAGAAATTGAGCATATAATTTGGTTATTAGGATTTTTATAAAATCTAATTTATTCCACTAACTTGTTAAAAATATTAAAAATGTTTCGTTGTGGGTAGAAGCTCATATTATTTCTTCAATGTTTTTTATATCACACTGCATTTTTTTTCTTTATATTTAATAATCTCGTACCAAATGTCTTTATTGGTAGTTAGTAAACTGAGTTTACATGTAAGTTGCTAGTTAACCTAAATGTAACAATTATGGTTCAATGAAATCAACAACATTTTGGATTTCGATTCAGAATTAAAAAAAAAAAATTAACCAGGGTTGTTATAGTGATAACTAATCACTGATAATTATGTGGATATAATGATTAATGATAATCTAATTTTCATTTCATTAATTCATTGGTAACACTTATTTAATTTAGATTTTTAGTAGACATTTTAAAATGTTTATTTTTATTTTGTTTAATTTAGTTAATAATTTCAAATACAATATACATTTATTTATTAATAATATGTTTGAAATAATGTAATTTATCGCATAATTATCAGTGAATATAATTATCGTTATAATTAATAACCGAAAAGTAAAATAAACTAATTAACAAAGCAGGTTCCTTTACCACAATATTGACAAACATGTATGTTTAAAAACAGTGATGCGAAAAGTAACGTGTCGCAAATTAAATTAATTTAAAAATAAGTCTCGGCACACTGTCCGAAAATATTTCCGTATTTATAGTCCGGCCATGTTTCAAGGTCGCGCTTGACAGACGGCGACCGAGTCCGCACAGTTACAGCACTTTAGTAGGGAGGCATCTTAGAAAGTCCTCACCCTCGCGATATGTATAGATAGATACATAGACAAAAAAGGAACCTGCCGAAAAAAATTAAAAAAAAATACCTGGCACTATCCAAAAGATCTTCACACACTCCAACTATATCACCATAATAAATCACAGTTTGTTCCTATCTAAATGTCACTAAAAATATATCACATATAACAGGTAACACTAACGTCACAACACGTCCAAAAGGCAACAGTCCAAGGCTTTATCGCCAAAAATACTCAAAAAATCCACGTGCGCCTTGCAAATAAACATTTAAAAAAATGCCGGCGAAGAAAAAACGCAGAGCGTGCTCATGACCCTGCAGTAAAATTATGAATGCCGGCCGTCGTTACTAGGATTAAAATTACCAGATTTTTTGTGCTCAATATTTTAGTGTGCTATATAATTTGTTATAGTTATGGGTTATCCACACGTGATGCGGCGTGCTGTCCCTTTCGCACTCAGCGATTTGCGTGTGCACCGATTTGCAGTGGCAGTAATGAAGGAATACTCAAGACATGTGCTCAAAAAGCCGGCTTTTCTAGACTCGATGTAGCTCAGGCGGAGTATGCTCCGAGCTTACACCGGCCGCTCGCGTCAACAACAAAATGCAATACAAAACGGCCGCTAGTCCGCCTTAAGACCGACGCGGCAAAAACGAGACTGAAATTCAGATCTATAGTAGAAAAAGTGAACTACACCGCGCGAGGGGTACACTAACACATAAAAATGAAAAAAATCACACGGACGCAAACATTGACAGCGGAGCTTAAAAAATCGGAGTGGGGGACAGTCTGCACCGCTTACCTGAATAGCGCCGTCTCGCTCTGGCGGCGTGAGGCCACGCGCACACATACAAGCGGCGGTTAAGCGAAAAAAATGTGTACACATTTTTTTATTATTCACGATTTTTATGTGTGTAAGTGGGCTTGGTGTGAAGGGGACAACGAGTGTCAGACGCATTGCACCCCTTGAGGGAAAACGAGATAGCGCGTGTCGCCACGTGCTCGTCCCTCGGTATTAAATAATAATTAAAATGGCTACAAGACCAACGATACGAGATACTGTTCAGTAGACGATTTTTTGGCCGAGCTTTTGCCTTTTTTGTTAGGCTTTTTGCGGAATCGTCGAAAACGAAGTAAGGCGCGATAGGTAGACTCATCACATAGAGAAAAACGCGGACCGATTGACACATAATAAGCGAAATACGCGCAGAAAAAGTCGCGCCGGGGAAAAAACCAAGGACGCCGCGCGAAAAAGAAGTTATTGATTAAAACAGGGCTGTCATTGACCAGACGTAAATGAGGGTGGTTAATTGTATGCAGAAGCGGATCCGGCAAGGATCGATTGCTTCTCGGCAAAAGAATTTAAAATTGTAACTAGGAGCTGCCAAGTAAACATTCATTTCCATGGCGACAGAAACGGTCCAATTTTAAATAGTAAAATGAAATAAGAGGAATTGTAACAAATCTGGGAAGAAGAAAGTAACGAAACAGAAGTTGTTGATTAGTTTCTTAGTTCTTCTATTTATACAAATACATTTACTAACGTAGTTTTGTTTTAATGAAAATTGCATAAAAGGAATAAAAAGTTTTGAACACCTGGTATAACTGGTTAATATAGCATATGCGTATATGACGATAGGTTACATTAGAATTACTTCAGCCTATTAAAAGAAATACGGGTGTATGTACAATGTTTTAAATAGAGCAGGTGTTTTAGTAGCCACTTTACTATGGTTTTCTGTATAGGTAAAATGATATCTAAAATAACTAATAGGCTGTGCAATGCAAAATTATTAAGAAACTATCAAATTATTTAAAATTTAATGATAGATTTAGAAAATAATGTATCAACCTACTACTTCCTGCATAGCTAAGTACATATTGTTTCAGTTAAATACTAATATACATTTATTATTTAATTACCTAAGAAACATGATTAAATTAAACATACCTGTGTTTATAAAGACTTCTTCAAATATCTAAAAAATATTCAAATAAACCTAATGTCGTAAGGGAAACACATTTCTATTAATTAACTAGGACAAATATTTATATCATTTAATACCCATTCTGACATAACTATAAATATCGCATTATACACAGATATTAGTCATACAATCACTTTCAGATATATAATCTATTTTGTATGCTAATATTTTTAAAGTAACTTATATAGCATATTATTATACAAATTTTTATTTAGTTATATGTCACCATCATAATAAAGTTTTTAAAATCTAAGAAACAGTACTATAGTCTAACTCCATGACTAGTATGTTGATTGCTTTTGGTTTATAATGTTAAGGAATTGTTAACTTTGATTTTCTAACTATATTGCAATCTATTAACAGTCTACTTACTTAAAAAATATCATAAAAAAATGAAATAGTTCACAGAAGTTTTCGGCACTTTGAAACATTATTATAACTATATTTTAACAACCGACTTGACAATGAACGGCCGGTGTCGTAAAAGTCTTGTTTTACGATTATAATGCATAATTATGTATTTTAACAATAACTTTCGATGTTAACACCAAGGTCAAAACATTCACTAAAAAATAGTTCAAGAAAGTTGTCATAAAAATTATGTGATTGTGAACAATCATAATTGGAATATAATTACCTATAATATACACAGATTTGTAAGTAAATATGACATAGATATAGATTTATTTATTTATTTTTGAACATTAAAACAATATTACTGAAAGATGATGATATTCACAGAAGTAAAAAACTTTTTATTTTAGTTTATATAATTCCAAAATATATTGATTGACCTTATATAGTTTAATAAAACTTAAAAAAAAAAAATTAATCTCAGGGCAATTCACACAGCGTCATCTAGACCCAAGTTAAGCTTGCTAAACCTTGTGTTATGGGTAGTAGATAACTGATACAAATACACAGATATTTTTTTTTGTAAATACATATTATACATAAAAAACACCCAGACCGATGCAAACAATCATAGTCATGTGTACAAATGTTTGTGCCGTGCGAGGAATCGAACCCGCGACCATCGGTCGTAAAGCGGTGTGCGCTAGACCACCGAGGTCGTCAAAATAAATAATGGCTTGAGATATGCAGATTATAGTTATATTATAATTTATATTTATAGAAGATTTCAACAATATTATCAAAAAGTTGTCTTATATCAAAAGTTATTTATTTTAATTAATAATATTCTATTTATTCAATCATTCATAATTTAAGAGCCGGACACTTGTCGATGAAGCTCTTGCCATTTTCCACGATCTTCCATCAATCTCTTTAGATGTTGATACGACATGACTGCAAATTTTTCCTTAATCTGCTTGATATAGCTGTGTCAAGCATGGAATTAACAAATATTCTATAATTAGGTAAAAGAATTGGAACAAACCCACAATAGTCCATTACGTTTTCTTAGTTAAAATTAGATGTAATATTTTTATGCATAAAAAATTATAAATGTAATTCATGAAATGACTGGACTATGCATACGGTACTAAACTGTTCCTAATTACTTAGAGGTAACCAGATCGTTTTAAACGTAACTCATAATATTATTGAACCTATATTTTTTATTTGCATTGTAAAAAAGGAAGCCATTTGTACGTCGGTTAAAAAATGCCATTATTCAGTGAAATAATAAAAAATTAAAGCCATTACGTAACGTCATATTATGTCCATATTGTCGAACAATTGCGAAGGGTTAATTTTTTTTCATTACAAGAATTTCATTTTCATCCGTCCTTGAGTTTTTATTACTATATTTATATTTGGTGGACTTCCTACTTATGTTATGCATTGAGTTTTTACAAGTACCAAAAATAAGGGTTGACAACAATTGGATGAATAGATTTTTTTATTTTGATCCTAAATCACCTGTTTTGGGGTGTTGGCTGCGGAAGTCAGTGGGATGTAGATTCGATCTTCGATTGTGCGTTTTCATTATTGGGTCATATTCAAACGAAAGTATTACATGGTGTGGGTTTAGAAACACAGGTGAGTCAAGGTAAGAAATGAATATTTACTTGAATATGTAAAATAATATAATACAATATCTCTGGACAATTCACACAATGGCATCTAGTCCCAAGTTAAGCAGAGCTTATGTTATAGGTACTGATATAATTACTAAGATACAAACAATCATACTCATGAACACAAATGTTTGTACCGTACGAGGAATCGAACATGCAACCATCTCATTTAATTTGCATTTAGAAACATGCTAGATACTAAGTGGATCTCACTTAACAGAGCGATGCTCGTTGTGACGACGGTTACCACTTACCATCTGGATCGTCCGCTTCTTTGTCAAATTATGCAGTGGTTGTTAAAATTAATAGCCGCGAGAATCCGCGACCATCGGAAGTAAAGCTGTGTTCTAAACCGCTAGATCATTAGGCTGTAGAGGCGAGCCTAGTATCTCCCGGTTTAATTAATTACGTTTGTTAAGGGTGTTTATCACCGAAGAATCAGTCGGTATTTTAAGCAAATAGTAGAAGTTATAAATATAGTTTAAAGCTAAATAGTAGGTATAGCTATAATTCAAATCCTCTAAAATACCTTTGATTCTGGACGATTCGACGACCATCTGAAGACTTTTAATATTTTTTTAATTAGTATTTTTCATTATTATTACAAATTATAAATCTATTGAATATATTTTTAGGTAATACCTATATGTTATTCTATAGACTATATCTTAGACGTCTGTGGTAGATTAATTAAAACCCATTTAAATTTAGATAAAAGGTGAAAATATTAAAATATCTAGATTCCAAATACATATTTGAAGTAACAAATAATTTGTTGTATCGACAAACCTGTATTTTGGGTGTCCGCCATTTTGATCTACTCTATCCATAGCTTAACATTAATAATACTTAGATCTACATACAAATAAATAAATAATTTTATGTACATTGCAGTTTCTGTTAGTAAATATTGTGCCGATAATGTAATGGACGCAGCAATGGAAATGGTTAATGAGATAACGTTAAAGGAGATTGAGATATTAGGGATACAGTGGTGGGTACGACGCGTGCAACTGCTCAGTCATCCATCACGCAAATGTTTGAAACCGGATTTGAGACCAAGACGGGTTTCAAGAGCATAGATAGCCGATTTTTTAAAATCTTCATCACCGATAACGCATGGACTCAGTACTATTAATAATGCAGTCGAACAACAGATAAGGAAAGTGGTAGCTAATATTCTATATCCATTGAAATGGCATAATATAAATGAAATGAAAAGAATACCATAAGGTGTTAAAATAGAGTTATTATTTAAACAAAAGTACTTTTGTTAAAATAAAAGAGTAACAAAAGTGCTTTTGTTAAAAATAAAAGGCTTATAAAAGGAAGATATTAACTAACTACTGTATGCTATAAAGTAATAAAAATTTTAAAACAAACGTGCATGCCGCTTTTTTAATAAAAACATGTTCATTGTACAATTTTCTACAGAAAAAAAGAAACTTTCACTGACGCAATGAAGTTTTTGCGTCTGTTTTTGCTACCGACAAAACACGGGTGGTCAAAATGTTTTTTGGCGTCGAACGAAAGGGTGGCGGTTCTTCGTACACTTACATTACAAAACAAACAATGGTTGATGTTGGATTGATTCGAAAAAACAATGC